AGAGAGAGAGAGAGAGAGAGAGAGAGCGAGGCGTTCCCAAATCGACCTCTCTTATCAACCCAGCCTGTGGTGATCAAACCCACGGGTCGGGTACACACACACACACACACACACACACATAGCCAACAACATAACAACAAACGCCAAACGCATCGGTTGAGCGCGGGCGCGCGGCTGCCTGGTCTACTTGGCCAACGACCCAGTCTTAGTTTTTCGCGCGTCATCGGCCAGTGGCTGTGTGTGGTGTGGTGTGGTCTGGTGTGGTGTATAGGCCACTGTGACTAAGTGAACTCCACCAGAACTGAACGGACCGCAGGCGAGGAAAGCCGATTACCGAATATATATATATATAATTGTGCTGGATTTCCGCTTCTTCTACTCGTCTTGACTGTGAGATCGCCCGGGAGTTAATTGATTAATAATGTATTTTTCATAATTTTATAATGAATTCGTATTGTTTTAGCGACTACTTGTTGTGGTTTGTGATGTTTACGCGTGAAAGTTCTGGTTGGATAACTTTGGCAGGTGGGTGGTTGGCGGGTGCCTTGGTGTGGGTTGTTTTGTTTTTTCCCTTTCTTTTCCATCAAAGATAATCTATGGTCCTAATTCTTATCTCTCGTTCTCCTTTTTCATTATTTGTTACTCTCTAATAACACATTAAAACCGGCCTTGTTGTTATGTTTAGTTTCATCATCATCATCATCATCATCATCACCGTAATAATAATAATAATAACAATAATAATAATAGTATTCATTATCATTTTTGTTTTTGTATTTTCATCATCAATATTATTATCATATCTAATTTATTTATTGTTTTTACAATTATAATATAATAATAACTACTACTACTACTACTACTACTACTACTACTACTACTACTACTACTACTACTACTACTACTACTACTACTACTACTACTACTACCTCACTAATACCCACCACTAAATGGTAGTCATTGTGTTGATATGATATGCTTCTGCTTGCTCAAACAAACAAACAAACAGACGAACGAACAAACAAACAAACAGGCAGACAAGCAACAGTGTTTCTCGTCGTTGTTCATTAAAAAAACAAACACTTGATGTTCAGCGTTGTGCCGCAAGGTGCGCCTGGTTCTGTACCTTTACGCACATACAGTTGAACCTGCTCTGAGGGTGGCTGGTTAGAGGGCGCCAGATTAGCAGGTCCTACTTCTTTACTTTTCTTCTGTTTCTGTCTGTCTGACCGTGTCTTACCTTTTCCCTGCACTAAATGACCGTTATTGTGTCGTTTTATGTGCTTCTATTTACTTAAACAAGCAAACAGAGCCTGCTCTAATGATCACCTGTCCAAAATAATCGCCTGTACGAATGACCACTCCCCCTCCCCCCAGTTCGTATTTTTTCTGCTTTAAGACATTGCCCAAGAGGACTAACTTTCTGAGATAACTACTTGTCTCCTCAGCAGTGAACGGTCGTCTTGGGCAGACAGATTGTCGTATTTTGATATAGCCCGACTTGCTCTAACGGCATAATTACCGACAATTACCTATACAAACGACCACTTACTTCCCATCCCCATCCCTCTCTGTGTTGTTTTTTTTTCAAGAGGGCCGCCTATCTAAGATGATTATTTTTCTCCTGGACAACAGGTGATCGTCATGGAGAGAGAGAGAGAGAGAGAGAGAGAGAG